CAGGCTCAGGAAGAAAGTTTAGCTATGCCTTGCAATGTGTATGAAAAAGGGGAGGCATCACTTCTGAATCATTTATTCCAACACAAGGATAATTTGCAGGTAGAATTGCCACAGTAGCAGACTAGAGAATTATTCCCTTTCACCCTGGCACCTGTAAGTATATTAATGAGCACAAGATGCTGATGGGGAAGGTGAGAGATTAACACTGTGGCTGTCATCTTGTTATTCTGGTAGCCCCTCTTTATGACTATTCATGAGTATCCAGATCTGACACTTCAGCAAGGTGTGCTCTGTGGCTTGATTTTTCAAGAGCATTGTATTTTCTTTAATAAGCCAGAACTCTATTCATAGCAAGTATTGTCCAAAGGCATGATACAGGCAGTCCATTTTATGATATATTTTAAACAAAAGGTTTATTTCATAAAACTGCACCTGAAAAACATTCTTGGAATAACTTCAAAGATGAGATTCATTCCTGTATGTACATTACAAGCCTGCTATACACTCCTGTATGTACATTACAAGCCAGTATCACTCCCCAGTGGAAAAATTCCTAAAATGTGTCACTTCACATGAAGGTACAATTAAGGAGAAATTAAAAAAACACATTCAATAGCCAAAATAGTTATTTATTAATAATTTAAGGTTTTACATTCTTATAATAAATTTTAGCTCAAAACTTTACACCATTAACATAAAAGAGCAACTTAACTCCCCCATCTTCACAATCATATGCACTTCACCTATCAAATGGGTACCCATGCTCACACACACACGCTTCCAGTTTTATACGGTTTTTTTTTAAAAAGGAAAGAAACCAACCCAAAGTATTGCATTTGAGGTGACACTCCCTGAAGAAATTTGTACAGAGGTAATACACTGTTTAGCACAGCTTTAGTTAAAAAAAAAAAAAGTGAGCCCATGATTTTGGTATCTTTCCAAGAAATCCCCTTTGAGGCAACACAAGCCAAAATATTTACAAAGGTAAGGCATAGTCAAACTACATAAAGAGGGGGGGAAAAAAATCACAAGATATATAAAAGAGACTGAAGACTGCACCATAATAACGTCTCAGCGATCAGTGTCCATGAAAATGTCATTCAGAATTGGTAGTCGTGCATGCTGCAAATATGTCCTTTGGATTAGAAGAGAGCAAAAGTTTCTATTTTCTATTTTAACAAGTGGCATACTGCTCTTTCTCCCTTTGGATGATTTCTTTTAAACCCATCAAAGAAAACAAACACAATTCAAACACTGTCGAGTGACTTAAGATCAAATATTTACAATAATCAAATGGAATAGCAAATTCTATTTATTTATTTGCAAAGTGATACTGCAAATACAGAGCTGAAACCTCTCTTTGGCTCCTCTATATGCAAAATTGAATCAGTCTTCACTGAAGACAATATATAGGCAGTTCCAGATGCAAAAGGGAACAGTCATACCAGGCCGTAATGATCACACGCTCCTTCCCTACCACTTGGTCCTACCCTGTACACCTGGAAGCCCTCAAATTCCAGTCCTTGGGTGGATAAGCTGCATACAGGGGTACAGAGCAAACCTAATTACTACCTGCCTGTATCTATACAACATGTCCTGGTCTTCCATTAGGAAGGGAGCAAATCTCTCCCATTTTAATGACCAATTCCACAGGTGAACCTTGTCTAACACAGACAACTGGGGTTGTTGACACCCGGGGTGGGCCTCATACAAAGAAAGCCGCCCAGCTGAAGTTGTCAAGAGAAACTGCTAAAAGAACAGATGCATCCCAGTGAGGACCATGGGGCCTTTCACGTGGATTGCAGGGAGTCCACTTGGTATACATTCTGGTTGGAGGGGGTGGTGAAATAGAGCTGCTGCGCTGGGACCCGGTTGTCACAGGGGCTGCTGAGTCCCAGTGTCCTCTCGAAGTCCAGCAGTTGGCCCATGAAGTTGAAGTTTGGGGAGATGTTGGATTTCTTCATCTTGACAATGTCATAAGCATCGTTCATTGACAGATTGAGCTTCTGCATGAGATAAGCCACAGTCACAGTGACTGAGCGGCTGATGCCAGCCAAACAGTGTACCAGGACGCCACAGTTTTTGCCCCGGGCTTCATCTGTAAACACACAAAGAGAAAGGGGAGATATCAGTAGACCAAAAACTACCCTTTATGAATGATCAGTCTAAAAACCGTATTTTTTTCAAAAAATGGATAGAAAGTAATCACGTGTGGCAGCTGAGCCCTGCAGGCAGCAGAAAGTGTATCATTGCGATGAAACATGTACTCTGGGCACAATTACATATTTCAGATGTTTTCTGAAAAGGGAGCTTTTGTATTAAGTTTCTGCCAACAAAAAACTCCTTAATGTGTACATTCTTGGCCTCAGCATGTGAATACCAGAAACCCTGCAATATGGTTGTGAATGCCTCTTACACAGACAAGCAGACTGCAAGGGTCTATTAAATTATTCTCCAACTGTTGTGCAGCTAACAATAGAGGTATTCAGGCATTTTAAAAGAGAGAGGAAAGTCACAGGGGACAGCCCATTAGGAGGAACAGGATGTCGACAGGGCCTGAAAATGAGTTCCTTTGTAATAGGAAATGCATTACAATGCCTGGAGATTCGCTTCTCCAGGCTTCCAGCCCAGTCCTTCCTGCTGAGCTCAGGTTACCCTCACTGTCTCATCGTTAACCGGTATCCCAGTAACATTCAATTGTTAGTACAACGTCTAGCACTCAGGGTTTTCCAACAACTAACGACGTCCTAAAATAACTCCCAGGTCTTTAAAAAATTATAAAGCAATGCTAAAATGCCTGTCTACCGTGAGTTTTTCTATCTAGCCCTCCCCCGAGACCAAAGATTGTGGGAAAATTCTCTCTCGTCTGATTATGTATGGCTCCCTTTCAAAGGACTGAACTCAAGAGTCAAGAAACAGGCAGCATTTTAAACACACACCTGTGGTTTGCAGCCTTATCAAAAAACACTTTTTCTTTTCTTAGCAATTAAACTACAATTGAGAACGCCCTAGGATCGTTAGAGACCTGCATTCCGACATCAAGCAGCCAGAAAGATTGAGAGCTCCAAACTCTAGGGCTGGCTAGGAGTTTTTGCATTTAAAAGTCTGAGCGAGGATTGTTAATTAGTCTCACCTATGAAAGAAATGGCCTCAGGGAAAAACTGGGACAGGTTTTGGCTCCAGTGATCCGAAATGGGAATCTGCTTGTATTTAAACTCTCCTGCGTTCTCAAAGAGATTCGGCAAATTGGGGGTGACGTTCAAGATGTACTTGATGCCGAACTCCTCCAACACGTCCAGGTTGGTGGAGTCCTTGGCACAGCCCAGGTAGAGGAAAGGCAAGATCTCCACGGGGAAAGAAGGCTGGCTGTTGGACAGCGGGCTGCCATCCGAGTCCGTGGCACTATTGGGGTCTCGGTCAAGATCAGACTCAATGTCCGAGGAGTCGGAGCTGATGCGCAGGCCCCCGAGCCCCAGCACTGGCAACGGTGGCGAGCTGCTGCCGCACGAGCCGTCTAGATTGGTCTCGCAGTGCAGGGCGAACTCGGCTTGGAACTTACTGAAGCCACCTGCCAGGACGAAAAAAAGCAATCGTAACCCGAGATCCCGTAGTAGTTTTCACAGCTTGTGTGAGTCAAGCGGTGTTCAGGGAACACCTCAGCAACCTACGAACCCCACTCGCACACAGCCGGATTTAAGAGAAAGACACATGTGCACCTTGGGACTGCAAAGAACGGGCCCGCCTCCGCGGAGAACCCTTAATCTTAAATCCGGAAAAGCACAAAATGGCAACTTTGCCGTTTTGAGGGCCTGGGAGGTACCAATCTATACCCCAAATAACCTCTCCCACCCCGCAAATCTTAATTTAAAATCGGACGATAGAAAGCAGGTAGATGGAAGGTATTGCGGGTAGGAAGGAAAACTCATTGGAAAGAAACAGCCCGTGCCTGCGGCCGGAAGCGGGTGAATTCTGCACCGGCCGGCTGCCGAACGCGCAAGATTCGCAGATGGGAGCCTGCGGACCGCCCTTAGCAAGGCAGCGCGGCGCGGCAGCGCCAGCCAAGGCCCTTCCACTCAGCGTAACCTGATTACCGCCCGCGACCCCTGCCCGGCCCCGCGCCCCGCGCCAGGGCCTCCCCGGCACGTACCTTCCAGGTAGAACGCCCGGCATCCCTCGTCCTTGAGCTTCTTAAGTAGCAGCCCAAGCACGGACTCGCCGCCGGTGTTCTCGTTCCAGTCGCTGCTACTTTCGTCGTAGAGCACCACTGTGTCGGTGCCGCAGCGCCGGGTAAAGCGGTCCCGGTCCTCGCCGCGCGTGAAGAGCGCGCGCACGGGCAGGTTGCCCTTCTGCAGGCGCCGCAGCATGATGCCCGGGATGGCCACGTTGATGGCTGACTCGATGTGCGACGACTCGTACAGCTCCTGCGGCCGGCAGTCCATCAGCAGCAGCCGCTCGTTGCCCAGCTCCAGCTGCTCGTTGAGCCACGCCACCGTCTTGCTGATCGCCATTTCCGACGCGACGGGCACAGGTCTGAGCGTATCTATCATGAGGGTCAGGCTGCGGGAGGGCGGCGTGCCTACCAGACGCCCCTCGGGGCAGGCATAGGCCTAGCGGTGCCGCGCGAAACCGCGTTTAATTCCCCTTCGCCCTTCCCAAGCCGGATTAGCGGTTGGGGAAGGCAAGACAAGTGAAGCCGGCGGTTCCTTCTGCAGCCGCTGGCTCTTGGTGTCAATGAATCTCTTTGAATGAGAAGCTGCCCAGTTTTGTTCCTCCCCAGTGAATGAAATCCAATTAATTCGGACTCCGTGCTACTGAGAGGGGAAGGAAAAAAAGTCCAGCGGCCCCTAATTCCTCCCTCCAAGGCTGCACCTCAAATCCACCCGGTCGTCTTTCTCCTCGGATTATTCAAGCCTCGATTTGCTCACTCTCCCTTGGACTCAGCCTTCGCACACCCCCTGCGCGAGGCAGCTCCTCAATGGATACAAACAGCGAGCGTCTCAATGGATACATTCTCCGGGCCAGCCAATGAGCGCGCTGCGGAAGGGGCTGTTGCCGTGGGGACGGGCCGGCTGGAACAGGTTGTGTTGATGAATTGTTAATGAGTTTGTCATTCACAAAAACGGAAAGGAATTTCCGCTCCGGATAAGCCCCAGTGCAAACAAGCTGCAACTGCGGGCTCGGCGGGAGGAAGGAGAAAGAAGAGGAGGCGGCGGCGGCGGAGGAGCAGGGCACATAAACCAGGGCACTTCAGTTGTCTCATGTTTCCGTCTGTTGAGAGTTCACTCTCCGCGTCCGAACTTTTGCGCACAAATGGTGCAATTAGCAGGCACAAAAGCCCTTGTTAGCGACGCCTGTGCTCGCAAGCTTAGTTTTAGGAAAACTTGTGCTTTTTCTCTTGTTCTCTTAAACTCATTTGGACTGCAGTTCGCTTTTACCACCCCCTTCGCCCCCGCCCTCCTTTAGGCGGTGGGTGGCATTTGTTTGCCAGTTTTAAAAGCCCAGCTATGTTGGCTGATATTCTTTGAGCCGAGGCTGTGTTGGGGCTGGTGAAATGCCTGGGCTTTAGTGACCGATGAGGTGTTAAATGCTAATCCAACATCTTTCGAAACAAACCGGGATTTTGTTAACAGTTTAAAGCAAGCAAACAAATGCATGTTTGTCCGGGTAATAGGGAGAAAACTCTTTTTAAAACTGCATTTAATTAGGATTTTTTTAAACAGTGGAGACTGCAGAAATTAATTTATTGGACAGTCTGATGCTTTTATTTCTCTTTAGCGGCGTGGCGCGTTATGAGCCATTGTTCCGGGGCTCCAAGGCTCCGGCCCCGCCTCAGCCACCGCACGCTGGGGGGTTGCTCTCGATAATGATTTCTGGGTAGCGAGGTCGACTTCCGACCGAGGAGCCGGTCTGGCGGGACCGCCTGGGCGAGGTGCACCAGGGCGGACAGTGCCTTGCTGGCTGTCCCAACCATGGCGAGGCGTGGAGCAGTCGTCCTGCAAGGCCGTCAGGCTGCGGACGCTCAGGCGGACTCGGGGACTGGTTACTGTCGACCCGGAGGGCACGTCGGTGGGGAGCCTTTCGCTCGCCCGCGCCGGGCCACCCCTTACCCACCGGAGCCGCAGCCCCCTCCCCGCCTGTCGCTCGGCACTGGCTGAACACCGACCGCGCCTGCGCGTTGCGCTCCTTGCCTGCACCCCGGCGCCCCCGTCTCCTCGTTCAGGAGGCGCGGGGCATTGGGCTACCCTGCGGACGGGTGCGGGCCAAGTGCGGGACTCTAGACTCCTTAGCGGCCTGGGCGGGTGAGGGGCGAGGAGGAATGCCTGCCGGGACCCCTCGTCTCCAAGGAGAGCAGGGAGTCCCGGAGAGCGTCTGTGCAGCTCTGCAGAGCCAGCAGGTAACTGCGGGGGTGCTGGCCAGGCTATCGAGCTGCGCCCCGCCGAGGCGCCGCGGAGCAGGGAGGGCCGGCCGGGACCGGATGGGGGCGTGGCCGGTGGGGGCCGCGGCGGCCAGGGGCGCATTCCCGGCGGAGTCTATTGTTATATAAAAGGGCCGCGGCCTGCCCCTCCTGAGCGGAAAACCACCTGTGTGTGGCCGGGGCGGCGCTGGGTCTGGGGGGGCCCCCTGCGGCCGGAAGGCGCGGGCCCTAACCCGGCTCCCCTCCCTAACTCCCTGCAGAAAAGAGGCCGCGCCTTGTCCCACCGCCTCCTGGGAGGCGGAAGCGGGAGCAGCGGCCAGGCGGGCAGCGGGTTTTGTGAGCGCCCCCGGCGGATAGAGCAGAGGGCACCTGAGGTCGCGGAGGTCTTCCCTAGCCTGGCGCCCCGCGCCCACGGGCCTCCCCGCTCACACCCGCTACAATTTGCATTTTTAGTCACCCGCCTCTTCCCTGGTTTGGGGAATGTAGGCTAAAAAAAGGCGGCTGCGAGGCCCCGTTGCCAATTTTGGAGCGCTGCTGCAGGCAGGCTGCCCCTAGAGGAGCGTGGTGGAGGAAGGTGGGGGCTGCCGCGCTCCTCTCCCCGAGCCTTTTTTGGGCATCCCTTGGAACAAAATTCCCGTTTTAGTGGATATCATCCAATTCCAGCAGGAAGGCGCCTGCGCTGGAGTTGACTCCTTCGATCCTCCCTCACTTGTTACAGACGTTCCCACCCCAAGACTTTTCCGTCACTGGGACCTGGAGTGGAGGAGAAGAGAGTCACCATGGCCTACAGCTCGACCGAGAAGAGCAAAATCTCCAGGCCGAGACCTCCAACAGAAGGGGCAGGGAGGAAAACTGGTTTCTACAGAGATGTTTAAAAGTGCCATTACATGAGCCTGGGCATATATATGGGAGGATGATCCCAGCACTTCTCAAACTAGAAGAGAGAAACATTTAGTTTGACCCATGCTTCTGAACCCTATGGCAACGGAATGTCGGTGCTTCTCAGCACATTTTATTAAATGGCATTCTGACCAATCTGACTGAAGAAGTGTAGCATAAAGGGCCTCTGGAGTGGGGCTGCCCAGGTTTAAATTGTGCCCCTGTCCCTAAACGTGCGACCTCGGTCAAATCATCTAACTGTTCTAAGGGGCAGTTTTAAACACTTTGGCATAACCAAGATAATAAAAATTATTAGTTTTTTTTTCTGGTAGGATCACTGTGATGATTAAATGGGTAAAAGGAAAAGCCCTAAAGTGGGGTTGGTGTGCCATTAGCAGTTCATAGCCTTATGAATTCCAAACCTGCGCAAGGGTCTGAGTTCTTTACATCTCAAAAAGACAGTCTTTGAGGCCTAACAGCCCGCGGAGAAACCTAGTCTACAGAGCAGCCCTCCGCGGAACTGTCCCAAACAGTTTAATCCATCCCAATTCAGCTGCCAAGCAAAGCAGGTGCTGTTACAGACAAGGTCAAAATCCTTTAACACCAACAGAATGTACCCAGTTACCTTTCTGACTTCTCCCTAATGGGGTCCCCTTTTAAACCCTCTTCTCCAACCACACCAAATTGATAGAATTTTATTTAATTCTGTAAACTGTATTGGGCATTCACTATATGGTAAGCACAGTCTTGGTTTCTGTGTTTACATGCATAATTTCCATCAGTCTCCAGATAACCCATGGAAACTACTGTTCACAGAGATTAAGGAGTTTGCCCAGTAGTAAAGGGTGGACCCCGGATTTGAGGCCAGACCTTTTATAGACCATTAAGGATGACCACATACACCCATTACAGGGTGTTGAGACCATACTCACACACTGCATTGTTTTCTGCCGAAACTCGTAAGATGAAAGTCTGCATTTTGAATTTTGACCACCAGGTTTTCTAGCTTCACATATTTTGTTGCACATATATATCAAGGATCAAAAGTTAGGCTTATTTCCCTGCTCCTTTTACATTTGGTGGTTTTCTTTGCACGCACCTCTTCATCAGTCAACCATTCAGTAAATGGTGCATATCTTTCTTCTTTACAGTGTGTCTTAGATTCTAACGGTCCTAACTAGCACTGCTTATCTAGTCTGTCAGCATAGCCCATGCCCCCAGGTTCAAAGTTTCTCTCTGTCACACACTAGTAGTCTGACAAAGGAAAAATACTTATACTCTCTGCGCCTCCCTTCATTCATTCATTCTAGGTTCCAGGAAAACAGCAGTGAATAATATGGACAAGAATACCTTCCCCCCACCCCCAGAGTTTACATTCTAATGAGGACAGACAATAATAAAAATAAATAAATATACCATATATTAGAAAGTCAAAGTGTTATGAAGAAAAATAAAGCAAGGAATGGAAATCAGCAGAGTGTAAAATTGGGACTAGTTATACCTACCTCAGAGGACTGTGAGGATCAGAGATAATCGAAATGACATGCGAAAAGTATGGGGCTTTTCAAAGTGGGAATTGAAAAGCTGATGTTTTTGACTCACTGTTTCATTCCTGCATAAAGCTGACTCCCTGTGGCTGGTGATCCTGCCTTGAATCTTACCATTCTGGCCACATCACCTGCCCCCAGGAAAAGCTGTCTCAAGAATTCTAGCAGCTGGAAGAAGCACAGGCCTACTTCCAGAGGGGATCCTTCATGGATTAGAGACTTAGTTTAAAGACTGGTCATCCCTATTCTCCTAAGTACACAGAAGCAATTCCACAGATACTGATTGTGTGTGTGTATGTGTGTGTGTGTGTGTGTGTGTGTGTGTGTGTGTGTGTGTGCACGCACACACGCATGCATGTGTGTGTGTGTGTGTACCAAGCTCCCATGCTTACATTCTTTCTGGTGTTTCCCCTGAAAGCTACTTAAAAATATGTCTTTTTCATTGTAATTGTTTGCTTACCTATTAGAGAAGCATTCCAACTTTGCAGATATTTTCCTGAGTTTGAGCACACTTGCAGTTTATGAGGCCCAAAAGGTTAGTATGACCTTTAATTTTCTTGGAGTAATCTATGAGTACAATGACATTTCTTAACACATCATGTGAAAATAGTTAAACAGATTTCAGTTAATAGGGACAGAGTGTTTTAGAAGGTCTGACCTAAAGTGTAGTTTTGTGGCATATTCAAGATTCACTTTTAAAGGTCCCAAGGAGCCCTGAAAGTGACAACCAGTGGCTTTCAGAACAGCTAAATATCAGAACAGAATTTAACTGCATTTAAGAAATATATTTGACATGGTCTGCCTTAAAATAAAGGGCATATGGAGTTCACAGAATTCACTCTGAGTTTTCCTGACAGGTGCCTAAAAAGATGTTTTGTTTTTTAGGCAAGTGATGTTTAAACAGCAGGAACTGTAAACCCAAGAGGCCCAACGACTGACTATAGAAAACACAGGTTCTGTGCATTGTTAGACTGAGCACAGAGAAAACCAAAGACAGTTTCAAATATGAGCTCCAAGTTAAAATACCACGCCTGTGGATCCTGGTTTCCATCAAATTCGTCCTCGCATAGCAGCTCCACGCAGCTTGCCCCAGTTGAGGGGCTGCAGGGTTTTAATAAAGGTGAATGATTTTCCCAAACAATGCAGGCATGGGAGAAGGCGGGTTAGGCTACACAGCAGCAGTCACATCTAGGGAGGGGCTAGAGCTTTCCTATAAACGAGATAGCACTTCCCACCTTACCAGAATGATAGGACCTGAAGGAAAACATGAACTATTGTGAAAGTCAGATTTTATCCCCAATCAAGCTAAGCTTTTAAAAATCATCATCTTTGTCAGATACCTTGTGTTTCCATTTCACAATGTGTTTCCATTTCCTAATGTGAAAACACATTAATTTACTTTCAGGATCCCTTCAAGACTTTAGAATATTCTTTTGAAGTTAGTCTCTAGCAAGGAAATTCATTTGAAGATAATAATGTTGATTTCTTCCTTCAGATGTTTTAGTCCCTTTCCTTCCAGTGGGAAATCATTTGCTGATTCTTCCCTGTGATCCTTTACCTCACAAAGCAGGAAATATAGAAGCACATGTAAATGTATAGGTAAGAAATTGTCAGGAAGTTGACATCTTTGCCATACAACCCAGCTCTCACCATTTATTTTTTTTTTTGGAGGAGGAGCAACAGTACCTTGCTTCCCATTGCACTATTTCCAGTGCTTCAGCAATGACACTTCGTGGGAAACTAGGCTTGCATTGCCTTCCAGGGAGGCCATCTTCCCAGAAGACTCCCTGGCCATGTAATGGAGCCCCATGTGTGCAACACTCTGGACATCAGCCATGCTGCATCTACATGCACAGTATTTGCCCTGTGTGGGCCATGTTTCGTCTGGTGACTTTTCTCCTCATCTTGTGTTCCTTTATTTATGTAGGAGTGAGCAGTACAAATAGCTGTTGTGTAAGAGAACTAATTATTTTTCTAAGTAGGTACTATTTCCTGCCAGCTTATTTTTGCCTCAGACATCAGTGGAAATGACTGTGCCCACAATAGGAGGAACGCTTTAACTTGGTTTATCAAGCTTAAGAACTCACAGATCCTCCGAGAATATATTGGTGGAACCCCAGGGGGCTTCCAAACTCCAGTCTAAGCAATACTGCTTTAGGCCATTTGGTAGGTTAATTACAAAAGTTATATTTCGATATATCATGAAAATAACATAATGCTACAATCCATTCTACACCAAAGCTTTGTACATGTTAAATCTATCGTAACTTTGCAAAGTAGGCATACCATCACCACAATTATATAGTGGAGAAGGCTGGGCTCTAATGTCAGGTTACACTGGAATCCAAACTCACATCTCATCCCTTCAAAGCCTCTCTAGTACATTCTACTAGTAAGTGTGGCCCTAAAGGATGACTCCATGCAGCCTGTTATGAATCCGATCTGTTATAAAATGGTAGCTTCCACATAATTTGTTAAATTTTATTTGGCTGGGAAGACTGGGAGTTCTGGATTCCAATCACGTTGGATTCCAAGCCTGACTCACCTACTTTCTATTATGTATATTTGTGTATATATAATGTATATTATGTATATGTATATGTATTATGTATATGTATTATGTATATGTATAGGTATACAAATATGTATATTATATTTGTGTATATATAGGGGTAGGAACGGTCCTGAAATAATAAAATTCATTGCCAGTTACCTTTTTTATTGTTAACCCCCCCCCACACACACACACCTATAGCTCCTAATAAATGTTTATTGACCTTGCTGTAAGGGGATGGTATAATGAAAAACACTGCAGTGTCAATTAGTTCTCAGGAATAGAACAATCCACATAGATTTTGAAAAAAAATTTAGAGAACAAAGTCAATTTCTTTATCAACCCTCTGAGCTGCTCATTTAAGCAGCCCAGAAATCCTGGTTTCTCAATTTGCCGAGAGACCTGGATGAATTGGTGACCCTGGGACCGCTGCTTGCCTCCAAGGGATTTCCCAGCAGTCTGGAAACTTAGCCACTGAGGGCAGCAGGTGCTTTCCCTGGCTCCAGTGCCACAAGCTCGGGCCTTTCCTGTGCACTGCATGTTCTAAGACTGGAATTGGAAGTTCACTGGCCAAAACAGTGTACTGATCATCTCTGAGAGATCTGGGTTCACTGTGACTGAAGGGAGGCACCCATTTATATTCTGGGTCCTCAAGTTTTTACATCATCCTGCACGTAAGAAATCTCATCTTCTGGGAAGTTCCTTTCTTCCTCTGACTTCTTGCCCAGCAGGAGCTTTGCAGATGGGGAGCCAGGGGAGCAGGTCAGAGCTGGTCTGAGAGCCATTGTCCTGCGACTGGAAGTCATCTTCCATTTGTGGGTGAAGGCTGTGTGCTGGAAGCCACATCACAGAAACATACCTGGCCTTAAGTAAACAGATCACCTTTTTAGCAGTTTCTATAGTAATTTTTGCACATGTATGATTCCAAGATCATTTTATGAACCATTTATGACAACGGTGCACCTTTTGGTGTATTCCCATCCAGTTTTCTTGGGCCCACCAGTAATTTTAAATTTTTTACCCAAATCCCCAAAAATCTAAATCTTTGCTAGGTCATACCCCACTGCACCTTCCTTTCTCTCCACACTGCCCCTGTCCTTGCCTAACCAGTTTCCCAGGGAAAAAGCCTTTATGATGGGATTTCTCTGCCCTTTGGTTATATTGTCCACATGGTAATTGGGTACCACTACTGTAGGACTTCAAAGATTTAGGAATGGGTAATTAGCTGTAACATTCTTTAATATGAATCAGTACCTTAGACTTGGTGACCTGAGGTGGGGGGGATTGTCTTTAAATTTAGCATGAAAGATGTTAAAAATGATTTGTGTTGCTGAAATTGGTGGCATTTACAATATGTCATTGCTAGAGTGTGACAGGGCCCATGGCTCTTGCGTTAACAAGACAGAGGAAGGTGCCAGCCTGCTGCACATGCTGCCACCCAGCCTCCAGCACTGCAGCCTGTGACCCTCTGCTTCTAGGGTCCTGCCCGAAAGACCACAAACCTCACTGCTGCCTTCCCTGCAGGATGGCCCTTTGCAAAGTGCTGTTAATCAAAGCACTGAGGGTAGAGAGAAGGACGTTTCCCCAGCCACACACAATTTGTATACTGTGCCTACCTGCTAAGACATATCTTTTCATTTGTTAAATGGGGTATGAGATTTAGTTTTACAGTGAGAGTGAGGATGGATGCAGTTAGGAGCATGACCTAACCTGGGGCCTCCAATCCCTAGAGGCCTCTGCTTTTTATCAACAGAATCTGGCATTTATCCAACCAGCTGACTGGCTTGAAAGCAAAGCTTTCAAGAAAGACAGATGCCCAAGACCCATCTCCAGTAATTCTGATTTAAATGATGAATGGTGGGTCCCAGGGGTTGGCATGCCTCAAAAGCTCACCAGGGAACCCTAATATGTAACCTGAGCTGAGAACCACTGGCTTAGAAGGATTCACAACACTCGTCCTCCATCAGTCCCCTTGCCTAGGGAGAGGTTTCCAGCCAGACCCGTAGGTCTCAAAGTTAAACACTTCAAAACACCTCGAGGTACCTGCTTACAGTCCACACCCTGGCCTTCTGCTCAGGGTCTCTGACCAAGAAGGTCTAGAGAAGGGTCCAGACAACTGTCTTTAGTCCAGCAATCAGGAGTGGATCATACAGATGGACCACACTTTGGAAAGCTCCAAACGATACCCCACACAGCCCATTTCCTCCTCCATCACCTCTAGACAATAAGTATAGAAATTTTCTTGATGATTACCTTTAAGGATGAATCAAATAATATACTTTACCCACAAAGATCAGAACTTTAGAACGGAAAAGTGCAATGTAAAACGTAACAGCTTATCCCTGTCAGTTCAACTCTTGAACTGACACATGGTCTGGTTTGTTTTTTGGAGGCCTGAAATTATACCAGATCTGCCGGTGGGTTTTCCTAAAAGGTTTCTCTTGACAACAGCATCAAGTGCATATTGAGCACCTGTTGTGTGCCTAGAACTGAAACAACTAGGGGGTGGGGAGGAGCATGTGGAAGTCCCTAAGACCCAAGATCTGCTGTCACAAAAAATAAGTCTGACTTGGGAGGTCAGACACATGCCCAGGTAGCTAGAATGTAACAAAAGACATGTGGCAATCACAATATAAAGGAAGGGCTATGGAAACCAGAATAGGAAATGGCTCATTTATCTTGGGTATTGGGAAGAAGCCACTATCTGAGTTAGATCCCTATGAGTAAACAGATTTCCCCTTTCCCTCATCCCACAGGGACAGGAGAAGAAAGGCCCTCTAGGCTAGAGAGACAGACAGTGAGCATAGTTTGGAGGCATAGATGTGCATGGCAACTGGCACCAGCTGAGCAGTGTGGAGGGCACAGAGTAGCAAAGAACATAGGAAGGGTAATTCAAAACCTGATGGAAATGGGCTTGGATGTCATGCTAAGGAGTTTGGAATTTTTCTTTAGGCAGTGAGTAGTCATCAGAGATATTTATCCAGGGGTGTGACGATTTCAGAATATGATTCTGGTAACAAAGGGATGAGCCTGGGTGGGAGAGAGAAACCAGGGGCAGGAAAATCAATTAGGAAGCAATTGCAGTTGTCCAGGAAAATGATGTTATACCACAACTGCCCTGCTTCTGAAATAATGTACTAATCATCCTGCTTCATTTTACTTCTCTTGTTTCTGGGACTAGAAAAATCACTCAGTCCTTCTGTGACTCAGAATCCCTCCCTATTAATAGAAGATGACAAAATAATTACCTTACCTCACACAGGGAAGTCCTGAGAGATTCTTGTAATTGTGGCCAGAAAAGACGGGGAAATGTTATTGTAAATGCCAGTGGTATGATTCCTCTCCAGGAGAGAAGCTGCCTTTTGCCTCTAACTTTTTATTATAAAACCTTCAACTCTACAGAAAGCTGAGTAAAAGCATCAGAAATAATCTCTGGAGGGAAGCTTCTGCAGAGGTTCCAAGTGCTCACTACCCAGGAAGTGGCAGTTCTCATATATGAGTCCATCGCCTTTAGGATGAAAATATTCCATGTTTGTTTAAAAAGGCTAGATTTTGAAAAAAAAAAAATGCCTATCTTCCTGTAGTTTTTCATTATAAACAAAACTGTAAGGGATGTTGTTACTCCTGAAATGCTGAAATGGGGGTGAGGGACACCCCATGTTAGTAGAAGGAATTAGGCACAGTCATTTAAGTGAGGGCTTGGGCATAGTGCTTTCAGTCTGTGCTTGCCTTTTGAGTCTTGGAGTCTGTCCTCATAGCAAGGGGCACATGGCCATGCCTTTCCCATCTGCTGCCCAGCCCTTTCCCACAATTGGATCCCCATTTCACCACCCAGGACCATACCAGCATCCTCTCCTCTTTTGGGAAAGGTACCAATGGTCTCTATCACAGAAAGCATGACAGACTGAAAAATGCTTTAAATATTGCCAAAATGACTTTGCCTTCTACCTTTTCAAAAAAATCCATGCTCCATATAACTGTTGAGTTGGTGCAAGATATTCTGAAGAACAAAAAAATAAATCACACAGGGACACACCCTTCAAGAAGCTAACAGGTGGGACTACGACCTAAGAGAATGTTACAGAGGTGGCATTCAGTGTGCTACTAGAACAGTTCACAGCTCCAGATCCAAATGGTGATCATGCTGGATACTGACGGAGTCCCTCCATCCCAGGATGGGATGATTTGGAATTACAGGGAGGAACTCCACAGTATTTTATATATGAAAACTGAAAGGGTATAAAGTGATATAATAAGGGGGCATATCAGGAACATGTGAAGAGAAAGTAATATAGGCTACTTTCTGAGGTGCATTTACTTAAGTAATAAATGATTAGTTCTTCCAAATGGAAATATTTGCTCTGGTACAGTAAATTACCCTGATTCATTTGTTCTCCCTTAATACAGTTCTTGGAAAACTTACTGATGAAATCTGTCACAAAGCAATTAGGAGATTACAAATTACAGAAGAATAAGCTTCTGTACAAGTCTTTACACAATTAGGCTAATCTTCACACAAATTAACTCTTTAAACTCTTTAAAGTTTTTTAAATTCTCAGGGAAGTTTCAATATCTTGCCATCACAGTCTGCATTTGCATGTACTTGTCTATTACTCACTAGATTCCTTTACTACAAAGAACTCAGGGAAATATGGCTGTGCTGACAACAGAGTCAGTTATAAAGGGAAAGTAATAACGATTTATCCATTTATTAATAATGTCACTATTTGATAATTCTAATGTCTGATTCAGTGTTCAAAGGTGACATTCACTTATTTTTTAAAAAGTGTGCAAGCCACAGACAGGGATAAAATACTTGCAAATGACAAATCTGACAAAGGACTGTTAC